AAATAAGGTATGTGGTTGAAACACATTTAAGAGACGGATCACGTTTTGTTCAGCCGGATAATATCCACATATCTACTTTTATAATTTTCTAATCATAAATCTATCTATTAGATTTATGATTATTATTACAGCAAAGCGGATGTTTCTCCGAATCGAAGGTTAAAAACACAAAAGCATTGTACACAATTTAAAACAATCAATTTTGTGTAATTATCAAGGATAAACTGATGTTTTTTAGTGGATGAGTAATGCAGATATCACTGTGTAATCATTTGACAGTGAGGGGAATACTTTCGGTTTTATTATGAAAACTTTGTGACCGGAAAAACAGTTTTCACCCCGTGAGGGTTGACGCCAACTTTACATGGACGCTGCGTAAATACGTAGTACACGTTCTGGCGAGACCTCAAATCATCTTCGTAATATCTATCAAACTATAGATCCTACACATCCAATGGACGTGGATTCTAAAAGTACAATATACACTTCTCGCTAGAAATCAAATCAAAAAGCATTTTAATGGCCAAACTATTCTAAAATTTAGGATTTTCCAGAGAGGGTTATTTGTGAATATACGACCCTCCGGAGCGTTTGCAATCAATGGGAGCATATGCCGCAAATTGTTGTTTCTTACACGACCACTAGAGGTGCTAAACTTTAAAACGTGACTATAGGTCTAAACAGCGGCCAATCTAAAAACAATCTTTCTTCAGTTAACTTCTAAGAACTATTGTTTGAATCATATTTAGACATGTGAACCGTAAAGTACATTTTTAATGATGATGTTACCTTTCTTGTCAAGTGGTATCTGGTGTCAACATAGTCTCTTTTTAGAAGTGACAGACTTTAACTCCTTAACAATTGTTTTTGTTTTATTCCTCCTGCTCTTTTACAACTTTCATTTCATGGTGCTTATAGTCAAGGTAGGGCTGCTCGATTATGGCAAAAATCATAATCTCGATTATTTGGGTCAATAATTGATATCACGATTATTAAAAACGATCCATTTACTTTGAAAACATCCATTTATTTTTTTAACAGTACGTTTTTAACAGTTGATTACCATGAACTTTAAGTATAATTCAACTGAAAAACCAATAATAAAAAAAAGATTATAAAAAAAGAAAATTATAATAATAAAAAAATAATNGACAGAGAGTGAATACACATACTATACAGAGATGCTGTATGAGAAACCAATGTGAGTTTGGAAAATTGCACAGTATAAATCTATTCTAGTAGACCTCAACAATGGAATTATGATCAGTAGAAATGGCCATGACATGGGACCTTTAACAATAACCTTTATACATGTGACACCATTAGAACATGCAGTAATCTGTGCACTTACAGAGCTTTTCCGGAGGCTTTGACAACTGGCAGCAGCCTCACAAGTGCCTCCTCTGAAGCACAATATTTCTTCAGGTCAAACACTTCTAGATCACATTCTGATGAAAGTGTGATGAAGACCAGAGCTGACCACTGAGCAGGAGACAGCTTATCTGTGGAGAGACTTCCTGAACTCAGGAACTGTTGGATCTCATCCACTAGAGAACGATCATTCAGTTCATTCAGACAATGAAAGAGATTGATGCTTCTCTCTGGAGACAGATTCTCACTGATCTTCTTCTTGATGTATCCAGACGTTTCCTGATCGGTTGTTGAGGTTATTTTCGTATTCAGAAGGTCTCTCAGGACAGTCTGATTGGCCGGCAGTGAAAGACCAAGGAGGAATCGAAGGAAGAGATCCAGATGTCCATTTTCACTCTGCAAGGCCTTGTCAATAGCAAATCTGTGAACCTCTGTCAAAGATGTTTTTCTGAAAGACATTCTTATTTTCTCAACTGCCCAAGTTGTTTGGCCTGGGTCACACATCACATTCTTTTTTCTGTCAATGACTGACCCCTCTACATAGAGAGCCGCAAAAAACTCCTGCACACTGAGATGGACGAAGCTAAACATCGTGCCTTCATCATGCTTCCTCCCACATTCCTCTTTGAAGATTTCTGTAAAAACTCCAGAGCACACTGAGGCTCTGCTGACATCAATGCCACTCTCTTTGAGATCTTTCTCATAGAAGATCAGGTTTCCCTTTTCCAACTGGCGGAAAGCAAGTTTTGCCAACGACTTCATGTATTGAATGCACTGGGTGTGGTCATACTTCTTTTTTGTCTGGTGAATCTGAAACATCAGGAACTCTGCATACATCTTAGTCAGGGTTTTTGGCAGCTCTCCCAGCCCTCTGCTTTTCAACATATCCTCCAGAACTGTAGCAGTGATCCAGCAGAAGACTGGGATGTGGCACATGATGTGGAGGCTTCGTGATGTCTTGATGTGGGAGATGATTCTGCTGGCCTGCTCGTCATTTCTGATTCTCTTCTTGAAGTACTCGTCCTTCTGTGAATCAGTAAACCCTCTCACCTCTGTCTCCATGTCAACAAAATCAGAATGGATCTGATTGGCTGCTGCAGGGCGTGTGCTTACCCAGAGGCGAGCAGAGGGAAGCAGGTTCTTCTTGATGAGATTTGTCAACAGCAAATCCACTGACATTGACGCTGTCACATCAACGTTAACTGCCTCGTATTCACTAGTAGAGCAGTTCAGATCAAGGCGGCTCTCATCCAGTCCATCCAAAACAAACAGAAGTTTAAACTTGCTCTTGTCATAGTTGGTGTTTCCTGATGACTGCAGAGTTGTAAAGATGTGATTCAGAGCTTCTTCCTTCATGTCTCTGGTTTCCTGGATGCATTCCTGAATGAGCTTTACCAAACTAAACTTTTCTCCCTTAAACAAATTCAGTTGGCGGAAGCTGAAAGGGAAAATTAGATGTATGTCTTGATTGGTTCTTCCTTCAGCCCAGTCCAATACAAACTTGCGTACAAGGAATGATTTGCCAATTCCTGCGATGCCAATGGTCAGTACTGTTCTTATGGGTTTATATCTTCCACAGGGGGATTTGAACATGTCACTGTGTTTAATTGTTTTCTCTGTTCCTGCTGGCTTCACCACCAACGCCTCGATCTGCCTGACCTCATGCTGTGTGTTGATGTTTACGTCCCCCCCAGCTGTGATGTACAGCTCTGTGTAGATATCATCAAGACGTTGCTCATCCTTTTTCTGTGACCACCCTTCTTGTGCGCACATAAACTTGTCCTGGAAATGTGATTGAAGCACGTTTTGGTAATATGTGATGGGCTGTGGCTCTGGTACTGGAACGATCACATCTGTGTGACATTGAAGGAAAAATCGACGATATAGAATCAGTCCACAGATGCATCTATTCTCACAATCATCAGTAAACAACTTGCTTTGGGTTTACCGAAGGTTTGTTTCTCAAGAAAATATAAAACTGCAAACAAACTTGAACATAAAGGTTGAGCAAGTTGTCTCGCTTGCTCTATGGGAAAACCATTGGAAGATCCCTGGAAGATTCAAGTATATTTGGACGTTGACCACTGAGCAACTTTTATAGGAATGAATGGGGCCCGCTGTTCTTTAGGAACATGTTAAACTTGTACTCAGTTATAATGCTGTCATAATGTCTTACAACAGCAGTGTGGCCACACATTTCAAATAATTACACTTAATTATTAAAAACCTTTTACTATATACCAGAGAAAACCGCAGCTTTACCTTCCCTCTGAAAGAAGGTAGTCCCTCTGCTCTCTGAAGTCTCTCCAACATCTGAGACTATGAGAGAGAGGTTATGTGTTATTTCATCATTTTGACAAATTATTAATCATTAAGGTTATCAGCGTTTTCCAGCAGCTGATCAGCGTTCTTCCAGCATCCCAAAGACTTTAAAAGTCTGCACAATGTTGACTTATTCTTATGCTCAGGGTAACTCTTACTGTGAAATACATACATTCTTTAACAACAATGCTACTTCTTTATTTCAGGTCATCAACACATTAACCTCACATACATAACTCATTGGTGATTACCCCAAGACATAAAATACCACACTAAAAAGATCCTGCTCCCCTAAAATAGTAGTGTGTTGCCCATGTCAAACAACTGCTTTTACCAAAAAATGCAAAATAAAACAGTGTAACTTGCCTTCTGGTCCTGAGCTGGCATATGAAAGCCTCTGCACCAGATCATTTCTGGGTATCTTCTCTAAAACCTTCTTGGTCAGCTTGAGTGCTCCATGGAGTTTGTAGGTGTTCACCATCAGATCCACTGTGTCCCGCATCTCTGCATTCTCCAGCTTGGACTCTTTAATGGCTTGGTCGCCTTCCAGGACTCCAGGCCGCTGCAGATACCACTTGAAGGCCTTAAATTCATTTTCTTTCAAATTTTCCAATGTGTTTAAAAGGTCTTCTGCATTCATTGTGGCTCCCTGCTGAAATAAGGCAGTTGTTTACAACCTCAAAGTCTGTAACAAAAAAGTTCTGATTGGCCAACATGATTGGAATGTAGACTCTGGCCATTTAAAGCTCCTAGTGGTCTTTAGTTTCATTTTAAATAGAGCCATCCTTGACTTAGGGCTGCTCAATTAATCGTATTTTAATCGCAATTACGATTTTGGCTTGCAACGATTACGAAAACAACGTAATCGAAATAAAACGATTATTTTTTATTATTATAATTTTTTATTGGTTTTTCAGTTGAANGGGTGTTATTTAAAAACAAAATAGGGAAATACTTACCGTAATTTTCGGACCGTTATATAAGCCGCAGCGTCGAAAAATGGGAAAAAAGGCGCGGCTTATAGTCCGAAAATTACGGTAAGTATTTCCCTATTTTGTTTTTAAATAACACCCTGCAATATTAACTTTTTTATCCTACTACTGGTTGCTACTACACCGATTTTACATTCTTTCTACCTTGGATGTGTATTTCTTTGATTTTATGTTATTACCATGTGCTTGACCTTTTTTGTAACAAGTTAGTCTACTGTTTTTATTTGGCTTTTTATCTTCCCTGTCCCCTTAGGTGTAACACTGTTAACTTTCCTGCAAATATTGGGCAAATAAATCAGATTCCAATCCATTGGATACTTACATAAAATGCATTAAGTATTCATGCTAAGGGTTGTGAGTATTGTTTTTTACTGCTTCCAATACATTAGGCGCTTTCACACCGGAGGACTTTTCCATTTTAGTTCCGATAGTTCTTAGGATTTTGCGTTCACACCAAAAAGAGAACTTAGTTCATGAGAACTTTTCCCCCCTTTTCAGTCCCTGCTAGAGAGCAGGGACTATCCTGGGGAGAAAAAAGTTCCAATTTCTGATTGGCTGGGCGAATTGCAAACCACGCCCCGTAAAACTCGGAACAGTTTTGTGAAGCCGCCATTGTATTTGCTCGCATTAGCATTATCATTAGCCCCGCGCACCAATGGAGAGGGACTAACTTATGGCAACACAAAAGAAAACACGGGAGCGGTGGAGATGAGGAGGTGTAGGCGTTCTGGCGATTTACTCGGAAGCCAGTCCCCAACTCCGGGGACTCCGGGTGGCAGTATACGCCGTGAAGTTGTTTGCGGCCTGCCAAACCCAAAGCAGAAGAAGAAGAAGTGACGTCAGCAGCTTCATTTGCCTAATCTTCCCTCAGGGACTTATTCCGGTGTGAACGCGATCTGCTCTTAGTTCCATAGGGGAACTAAGTGCGGCAAAGTAGTTGGCGTGAAAGCGGCTATAAAGACAAAACTCTTCTACAGCAGGAGTAATACCAAGAGTCTGTGTCCTACCTCGATGAGAATAAGTATTTCTACTTTACCAATAAACCCCTTTTTGTATTGCTTCTTTTAGCCACACAAAACAACCATGATAATACTGGTGTCCTACCTCGATGAGCATGGCCCTCTCTGTCTTCATGACCACCTCCAGCAGAGGCTTCACCAGAGTCTGAGGCGCCGCTGGGATCAGGTGGAAAAGGTTAATGATGGCCGAACAGATCTTCATCTCCTGGGGAAAGAGTCAGAGAGAAAGAACAGAGGGAAGAAAGGAGTAGGTGAATTTTTTGGAAGCATGAAGGAAGTGGACAGGGACATCATTTCTTGATTGACAGCCAACTGTGGAGAGACAATCTTAGTCAGAAAATGCAACCTGTGTTCGGTTTACTTCCCACAGAACACTTTGCATGAGCTCCTGGATTAAATTCAAACAAATAAGGGACATGAGAATTCCTAAAATCTTGTATTAGCGATATCTTAAAAAGGTGCAAAGGGAAAGGGTGAGGATTGGACATTTCTAAAACAAAATGAGGTTAGAGCAAGGCTGAGATGACATTTCTAAAGACTAACAAGGGACAAAGACATACAGGGAAACTCCAACAGCACCACTACTACCACGACATTGGTTTGGCTAAAAAAAAGAATCACTGAAAGAGAGTCACCAACAGGGGGCGCAACACCGGGTCACATCTCACCTCAACGCCCTCCAACGCAGGCTGTACCGGAACGGGAGACAATGGTCAGAGTCAGCAGAGCAGTACGTGTGTATTTTTGTGTCCATGTGGAAGGTGAGTAGATTAGACAGGGTGACAATTAAGTGAACGGACACACAGCGGCAACCTTTAGGAGAACTTTCTCTCTGGGGAATATCGGGGCAGGGGCCATATTGGATTGTCTGAATCGATGGCAGGAAGATGGGAAAAACTCCTGCTTACATGCCTACAGACCCTCCTCTTAAAGCCTTCTCTATTTCCCTCCTCACTTTCTGTCTTCATCAGCTTAATTGACCCCCCCGACCCGGGCTTTATTGTCGCTGCCAACACGCACAAAGACCACCGGTTTGGAGGGAGGGGAAGACAAAAGGGCCAATTTGCATCTAATTAAACACCATTTTGCGACCGGACAGGATGAACTTGCATAAAGAGAAGAAAAATCTGTGAGCGAGAGGCAGCTGTTTTTTTTTTTACTCACTCCCCCTCTTTCTCTCTCACCTTTTCTCTGCCTTTACAAGGTTATCTGTCGGGGAGATAATGAGGAGACGCAGCGCTGGGCCCACCACCGCCTGCCTGGCGCCTAATTAATCATTGATTGTAATATGGCCACTCACAATTCATCTGGGAGGAGGCCACAGAGAGGAGGTATTCACTACATGTGACTGTGGATTTGTGTGTATAAGGGGACATTTCTCTGCTCCCTCCAGTGTGTCTGTCTGTCTGTCTGTCTGTCTGTCTGTGTGTCTGTCTGTCTGTCTGTCTGTGTGTCTGTGTGTCTGTCGGTCTGTCTGTCTGTCTGTCTGTGTCTGTGTCTGTGTCTGTGTGTCTGTCTGTGTGGACATTTAACTGAACAAAAGAAGTGTAAGTGGACAGATGCTGCTACAGAATATAAAAAGATTTCTA